TTTTCGCTCTAGGAAATGAGCACCCCACCCCCAACAACATGAGCATTTTCGTCCTAGGAAATGACCCTTTTCCACAAAAAAAAAACATGAGCATTTTCACCCTATGAAATGATCATTTTCCTCCAAGGAAATGAGCATTTTTGGTCTAGGAAATTAGCATCTTCATTCTAAGTAATTAGCTTTCTCGGCCTAAAAAATTAACATTTTCACCCTAGAAAATTTTCTCACAAGGAAATGAGAATTTTCGCTTTTGTAAATAAGGATTTTCCCCCAAGGAAATTCGCATTTTCGTCCCAGTTAATTAAAATTTTCGCCCTCGAAAATGAGCATTTTTTAAGTCAAAATAATGATCAGACTCTTTATGTTGAACGAATAATGTATTGAATGTTTTGTAAAAGATCTCTTTTGTGCTCACACAATCTTTTATTTAAATTCCTCGAAGTCCCTCCTATATACATTTTCGCTTCAAGTTTCGCTTCAAGTTGTTATTATTCTTATTGTTTTAGAAGTAGTTGTAATATAATTTATATTAAGTTTAGATAAATTCTTCTCACACATGACAGAGTTTGGCAGGTAATATTATGTGTTTTATTAAGTAAATTCGCTTCGTTTTAAGTCCATTTTTATAAATTTTATAAGCTTTCAACAAGGGTTGTTTAAATATATTATTTTTTTGTATTTAAATTTTCTCTCCTCTGAACATTTAATAAAATATAAATAGCCTATTTTTAAGCGATTTTTAAAGCGTTTAATGTCGTGTTAACAGTTTTATATGTGTGTATGCATGGTAGGTTTTGAGTGTGTTTGTAATTGCTTATGAAATTTTAAATGCCCAGAAGTCATTGGACGATCAATGTTCAAATTCTCTCTGAAAAGTGGAGAAATATAATATATATATATATATATATATATATATATATATATATATATATAGTCATCCACAAACATACTGTTTCGCTGTATCCGAACATCTCAATATATATTACGTCCTATTAGTTCAATATCTCGGGATCGAAACACGACTGATTTAACATCAGTCAGACATCTTAGATATCTGGTTTGACATCAGTTAGATATATTTGATCCCGGCTTGAAGCAATCGGACGTGCAGCCACACTGAAAAGATGTGATACAGCGAAACTCTCTGTTTGTGGATGACTATATATATATATATATATATATATATATATATATATATATATATACTGCCAGTTCAACAAAGAAATTCGGATTACTAACACATAAAAAGAAAATGTCTCATATTGGGAATATTTAATATAAAGGAGAAAAAATTATTTTTAAAAGGAGGTAGAAATCTCTGCCTTTTATCTGATGACGGTCGCAAAACCGGAAACACGTGTAGTAAAAAAATATATGGAAAAATAAAGCATAATATTTTTTTCAAATCCACATTAAAACCAAAAACGTTTGCGGTATCTCTCTTTTTTTAATATACACACTTTTCTCTCGTTGGAACTACTATAAATCTCCCTTATATATATATATATATATATATATATATATATATATATATATATATATATATATCGGAATCTCCTGCAACTCTTCTCGTCTCCTTGTTTAAGTTGGTGCCATAATCCATGCCTTCACATCATCTTTGGTGTTACAAAGAGTTTTGTTGGTCTCTCGCTCAACTGCGTCCCACAAGGGGGTTGCAGACTGGGGCATTAGTTGGCTAGATATAAGGGGGCGATATGGTCGCAGAAATTGCCTGACAGCCATAACTGCGTTCTCTTCCTTGTGTGGCATGGTGAAGAGTCCTGTTGCCAGACGTAGGGTATTTCAGTAGCCATTCTCCTGACACAGTGCAGCATTAATCTCGTCAAGTCGCTTGATGTAGGCCTCCGTACTGAGACTCAGAACCCGTGGGAAGATGAATAGAGGCATTACGACGCCATCACTAGTGATCACTCCCAACAGATTCGTAATCACCATTAGACTCATGCAACTCTTTCCGAATCCTTTGCACAGTCCTCAGATTAACACCAAAAAGTTTGTACTGGAGCTTCCGGTGCAAATTCAAAGCAGTACACGCGGTTTCTAAATTTCTGGCGGAATGAATTGCGTCATGGTGCTCTTTCTCTCACAAAAGTTGCCTAACTAGCCCTACAATATTATGCAGACGATAAAATCAAAAACAAACAACGCGCATGCGCGAAATTAAAAATATAAGATAGTGTTAATTTACCCATCGCACCCTATATATATATATATATATATATATATATATATATATATATATATATATAAATGGTTAAATGGTTAAAGGATTTCATTTTTAATACCACATATGTTTATTTCTTAGTTGATGCCCGTATTTGAGTAGACGTTGCCTTTATTTTAAACACCCTTTATTTCGTCTACCGACCTGTACACTCGAAAAAAATGATAAAATAAAATTTTAGCTCTGGCAGAATTCAATTTACGCCAAACTTACAGGTAAATAGAACCTTGCTTCATTGTGAAGCACTTCCAAACGCAGTTGGTATATATATATATATATATATATATATATATATATATATATATATATAAAAGAGAGAGAGAGAGAAAAGAGATACGATATACAAAGATAGATAAATATCTACACTCACATATATTCATTATATTATATTATGTAATATTATATACACATTATATCTACATAGATCTGCATACATATCGATACACATGTATTCGTACACATACTCCCTCACCGTATATATATATATATATATATATATATATATATATATATATATATATAGATAGATATATATGTATATATATATATATATATATATATATATATATATATATATATATATATCAACTCAGGGATTACACCCCGCTGTTAGTACGGTGTAAACTTGTGCATATTGCTTGAAGATAAAATGCGCAACATCAAGACATTTCAATTTCTCTAAGGAACGCCATAAAGGACACGGCATGATATCCTTATCAAGGAATAATTTGATTTTCGTATACATGCAAATACTCTCACACACACAGACATATATATATATATATATATATATATATATATATATATATATATATATATATATAATGAGAGAGAAAGAAAGAAAAGCGAGATGGCGGATAGGGGTAGATACAATTATATATTAATGCATATATGGCAACTATATCAGATGTCAAATATAATAAATCCTTGACTGACATTTCGCGGCAATACTTCAAAAGCACACTGATGGTTCAAATGTGAAACAGAAAACTCTTAACCCCGTGACTAATTAATTCTGTTCTTAATTGTATTAAATTACAAATATTAAATTGTTTGGAAATTAATGTCTTATTTTTTATGTATTTTTATTCCTAAATTAATGTTTTTAAACACTGTTTAAATCAGTGAAAAATAGTAACGCTGAACATATTACATTTTTGCCATCACGTTACAAGGTTATTTATGGTTTTACCATAAAACTCTCACTGTCTGAACTTAAAGAAATCTTTGACTGCAGTTTCCGTATCTTCTTTGCAATGGAACGGCTTTTGGCTTAAAAATTAGAATAACGCTTGAAAATGTGGTAGTCAGTGGGCGAAAGACCAAGCGAATTTTATGGATGTGGCAAAGTCATTTATCTCAAATCATTCTGGCAACATGTAGCCGAACATTGTCATTAAACAGAATTGAACCTTAGTCGATTAAGCAGTGTCAGTTGCATTTTCCTTAACTAAATATGCATTTCCCCCAGTTGCTGAGAGTAAACTTTAGCAGTGATTCTCTGCTTATAGCCAGAAAGTTTACAATGAAAATGCCAATGGCAGATCACCAGAGTGTCACTATAATCTGCTGGCGTTTTCCGTTTCGCAAATTGTTGTGATTCTTCGTCATGTTAAAGCTGTTGAGTCTATCTTTTATGATTGTCATGAAGGATCCATTTTTCATGGCAAGTTGTTATTCAACCAAGAAATAGGTCACTCGAATTTTTGCAGGTGCATCATGGAACACACTTCCAAACAATTTGACATTCGCTGAGTTCATATGGAACGAATTTACCGAGTTTTTTTCCTTCTGCCAACATTATCGAAATGATTCGATAATGTTGAAATACTGACACGTATTTTCTGACACATTTCCCTGATAATTTGTTGTGGTTTTTGTTCGACTAGTGTTTTCAGATTTTGATTATTAATTACAGATGAACGTCCTATGCCACCTTGACCTTTAAGATCCATATTCTTATTACGGAACTTTAGAAACGTGCCCCCTACTGTCCAATCACAAACGTATCCTTCACAACAGGATCTTTTAATGTTTACCCCAGTTTGAGAAGCCTGGCAACTAAGCTTGAACTCATGTAAAAAATTAAATACATTTCTTCTTTTTTCATGTTTAAAATGAGATTATATTAACCTTTAGGATCAAAGTCAGCAGTAAATAAATCAGTGTTATTGACGAAAATTTATTTATTTCTCCATTGGATCATGTTACTTAAGTCATGGCAATTATGTGTGAAAAATAACATCGCCCAAATATCCGCCAAATCTGAAAGAAAAAGAAAAACGCTTAAATTTAAATCACATTTAAAATCGGTCCCAGTTATTGGAACACCCTCTATTTGTGATAGAGTTGGTTAGTAGAACAATATATCTTTTGGTTTGTTAGGTTTGTCAGGAGGAGCCCCTTTTTTATTTTGAAATAATTTATGAGCCTTTTGTTGTTTCGTTTTGTATTGATGAAGTCTTTTATTGTTTTAGATGTGGTTGTGACAAATGTTATATTAAGTCTAGATACATTCCTTTCGATTGTAAAAGGGTGTTTCATTAAGACGGATCAAAGTCAGCAGTAAATAAATCAGTGTTATTGGTGAAAATTTATTTATTTTTCTATTGGATCATGTTATTTAAATCATGGCAATTATGCGTGAAAAATAATATCGCCCAATTGTCCGCCAAGTCTTTGGCGGCACACCTCCACTCGACGGTCAAAATTTTTGATGACGTCTCTACATATTTGCTCCTCGATCTCACCAATA